GCGAGGGGTCAGCGGGGCCGTGGCGGAGCCCAGCCCAGCGCGGCTACAGCGCCCCCAGCGTGGCGGAGGGCACCGCGCAGCTCAGCCGGCCCAGCGCGGGAGAGAGGAGAGCCAGCCAGGACCCTTGGTTTCAGGAGGGCGCGGCTCCGATGTCTGCACCTGCCGTCCGCCCCGCCCCGGGCCCCCGAAGGCCGTCCTTGGGGACCCGGAAACCAGGTGGCCCAACCGCGGTCTGACCCGCGGCGCTCAGCCGTCACGCCGGGCTCCCGGGGTCTTGGACGAGGCGGCCGAGCACCTGTTCGAGTCCCGCACATCTGGCCAGGGCGTGGTGCCAGCCTCCGAGCCTCTAAATCCCAGCTTTGGGGCGTCGGATTTCGAGGGCGGGGCGAGCGTCTCTGATGTCCCCCTCTCGCCCCCGAGTCGCGCCCCTCCCTAACCGTCACCCGCGCGACCGTTGGCGTCGCCGCCGCGCGTCGCAAGGGGCGTGGCTGCGCATGGATTGGCTTCTCCGGAGCGTGAGGAGGCGTGGTTGGGTGGTTTTGCCCTAAAATGGCTCCAACTCTGCGGACAGAGCAAACGGAAGCGGACGCTGTGGAAGATTAGTGGTACTTGGTCTGTTGGGACCCAGCGGGCCAAACCGGACCAGACATTCAACTAGACAGCGCCTGGAGCATCGCCCCGCCCTCGCTCACCTCGCTTGCGTCCCGAGAATCTCCCGCCCGCCGTCTTGAGCCGAATCAGAAGGCCTTCTGCCTCGAGAGTCGCTGGCGCCCGCGCCGGTTTCGGCAACTCCGCGCGCCCACTGTGTGGTACCCTCAGAAGAACGTTGCCGCGTCTGCTACCCTCGGGGCCCGGCGGGCGGGAGGCTCGACACAACTGAGGACGGTCGCAGTGGATTTCCGGGGGGTCCCGTCGCCGCCTGGTGGCCCATTGGGGCCCCTAGCACTCCGGGTGCTGGCACCGTCACCGGACAAAGGGCCCCGGGTGCGGAGGTGTCCCCAAGGCGGGTTTACTTCCTCTCGGGCCCCATGGGCACGTTTCCCTCTTGGCTGATCTCAAAGCCCGCCCGGCCACCGTCACCGCAGTGGCCCTGACTGCATAGAACCAACAGGACTAATCCTACCCCGTGGATCTAATGCAGACCGGGATCTGTTCCCAGGGGAGGCCCCCACCATGCCTGTTGTTTGGGGGCCCAGGTGAGCGGCTCTCCCACTAGACTAGATTTTACCGCCTACTCCTGGGGCCGCCTCCTGGGACTAGGAATGAGGGGATTTTGATCTGGCCCCGGGGCGAGGGATCCCCTGCTCCCCCACCCCCCCACGGCTGGACAGCGGGCAACGGAATCCCAAAAGCAGCTGTTGTCTCCAGAGCATTCCAGCTGCGCTTGGATTTCGTTCCCTGCTCTCCTGCCTGAGCAGCGTCCTGGCCCAGGTGGGGTGGGCTATCCCCTGACCCCCAGACATCATTTATTGGGTCGCTCTGGTCTCCGTCCCTCCTTCAGGTACGCCCTCAGACTGCAAGCGACGGGCGTAAACGTCGAAGAGCCTGAGCGGCTGTCATCTCTGGAGCCCGAGGTAACACTGGCGAGGGAGGGACGACCCAGGGCCTCCGGATAGGGCGGCAATGGCGCTGAGTCCCACAGGGCCTCCCCAGCCCGCAGCTCGCTAAAGATAGCCCTTCACTTCCTGGGGTAAAACCACCCCCAACCGTCTTCATACACCGAGACTAGCAGCTATCTCCGGGTCGTGTGCCTGCGGCATGGAAAGCGCTTTGGAATGACACGATCACTCCCGTTGAGTGGGCACCCAAGAAGCCATCGGGAATGTCGTGTCCGCCCAGTGCTCTTTCGGCGCCTCCCAATAGGGCCTTGCATCCCTGGCTCAGAAGGGGGCCTTGCCAAGGTTTTCCTATCCCTCGGATCCTCTCCTTTGTGAGCTCTGGGCACACAACTGCTCCAGGGCAGAGATCACGGGTTTTCCAGTGCTCAGCTGCATCAGGTTCAGTCTTCGTTAAAGACAAGAGAGAAAAGGGGGATTTAAGTTATACCTAAGTGAAAACATTCAGGAGCCCCCGTGGGACAGCAGAAACAGCTTTCTCGCTGGTAGAGGAGTGGGATGCTCTGAGAGCTGTTCTTAAACTGGTCCCTCTCATGGTCACATTGTGTAGTTGACCCACAAAAGCTTGTTGCCTAAACCAGGAAGTGGGAGAATCTCTGTTAACGTACACCAGGTGAGAGTAGCATTAAAAGAATTCTGGAAACCATCATGATAGTTCTAATTCCACCAGATTCAAGAGGAGAAAACTGGCAGTTCTACCAGCGGGCATTTATTGGGAATAAAGACAACGCGTATCTCAAAGGAAATAACCTGAGACCGCAGAACACAAATTCTTTTAAAAATTTATTTTTTCAGTAGGTCGTCAAAATGGCTTTAATGTTTGCTACCCTATTTCAGTAATAATTCATTTGGAACTTTTGGCGTTTTTATCATGTGTAAGATGGGAGAAATGAAACGTTACCACAAATACATAGCTGTAAGACTTAGATAGAGAAAAGCCTTGAGTCCCCACCGAGTCGCGTGGATTCTGTCCCCGGTTGCGAATACGGGTGACGCCGAGAGAACCCGAGGCCTGGAGCGGACTTCTAGATTTCGGACCTGGAGCCGGGCCAGGCTAGTGGGCTACGTGGAGGGAGAGCTGGGGCAGTAGGTCGAACGTGGTCGCCACGGCTCCTTCTGGCGCACCTGTCCACTCCGGAACCGCAGCCAAGTCCCCGCCCCAACCAGCGCTCCTCCCGGAAGTTCAACATCGACGTCTTGGTTCCGGTTCCGCTTGCTCCTTCCGGTCGCTATGGCGATGGGGCGCCTTGGGGTCGAGGAGACGCTGGAAGCCCTCAACGCGGCACTGGGTCCAGGCGGCCCCGTGTGGTTCAAGGAGACGCGCGCCCGTCACTTGCGTGTCCGAGACTTCTTTGCGCCGCGGCGCGCGCTACGAGCACGCTTCGGTGACGGGCAGGTAGGCGCGGGCCGATGGGGGACGTGCGGCCCAGAGTAGCTGGGGGCGCCGCGACCCGCTCACTACCTTGTCTTCCCGCAGGTCCCCGAGCGCGTGGTTCACGCCATCGCCTGCTTGCAGGGTCCCGGTGTGGCCCCGGTGCTGCGCTGCGTGCCGACTCCCACGGGGTTGGCTCTCCAGCTGCAGCGGTCCGCCGTCTTCGAGCGCGTCCTCGGCGCCGTAGCCGCCTATGCGGCCCCTGCCGCGATCGCTGCACCAGGCCGGCGCGTCGTCCTGCACTGCCCAGCGCTACGTGGCGGCCCTGGCGTCCTCCGCCTTAGCCAGCTGCGTGCCGTGCTTGTTGCCGATCACCTGGCGCGAGCTCTGCGCGCTCATGGGTAAGCGGGGACGCGGGCCATAAAGGAGAAGGCACGCCGCCGGTGCTACAGAGCCTCGCGGGCGGGGGCGGGCCGCAGTGGGTGGGAAGTCGGGGAGAGCTGGGCCCGGGGCTCGAGCTGAGACGGCCACCTCGCTTCGCAGAGTGAGTGTGCGCCAAGTGCCTGCTGTGCGGGATCCGCACATGCCGACCTTCCTGCAGCAGTTGCGGGTGGACTGGCCTGTGGCCTCAGAGAGAACCGCGACTGAAGCCCTGAGGAGCCGCGCGCATGCGAAGCTCACCTCTGCTGGTGACTCGGGAGCTCTGCTCCCTGGAGCCGTGGGCAGTGTGCGCCTGAAGGAGCTGGTAGATGAATGGGGACACACAGCTGGCTATGACCCCAACCTGGACAGCTGTCTGGGTAAGACCCAGACCCTAGCAGACCCAGGAATTAGGTGGGCCCTGCACTCACTACTAGTCCCAACCCTGTGTGTTCTCTTCGCAGTGACGGAGGATCTGCTGTCTGTGCTGGCTGAGCTGCAAGAGGCTGTGCAGCATCGGCTTGAGGAGGGCTCCCCAGGCATGGTTAGTGACTTACTCCCCACGCTGTTGGCCTTTTGCAAACCAGGTGTTTTGTGTTCCCAGCAGTGACTGGCCTACTCTATTTAGGCTGCGGCCCCAGACACTGGTGCAGAGGGTTACCTGGTTGTCCACGTGGTGAGCTGTGAGGAGGAGTTCCAGCAGCAAAAGTTGGACCTGCTTTGGCGGAAGTTGGATGACCAGGCTCCTCTCAGACAGGTTAGTGATGGTGGAGCTCCCCTCACTCACTTCAGAGGGCCCTGGAAACCCACCAGGGGGCCTGTTAGCTGATGGGTCTAGAAGGTGACACTTGACCTGGGGGAATGGGCAGGTGCAGCAGGTGCTAGGAGAAGGTGCAGCCTGGAGGAATAACCCAGAGAATGTGGAAGAGTAGGTTGAGGAGGCTGGCCTGTTTCCTGAAGGCCCAGGCTTGAGGTGGAGGCCCCTAAGCCTGGTGGTAAGGAGCTGGGGGGAGGGGGGTCTAGGAAACAGATTGAGCTTCCTTGAGGTATTGCTGGCAGGTATTGCCAAGTGGCTGAGCCCCTGCTGTCTTCCTGACAGAAGCACCTGGTCTGTGGTCCAGTGAAAGTAGCTGGTGTACCCGGCACCGTGACAGCCCCTGAGTACTACGAGTGAGTGAGTAAGGCCAGAAGGAAGGCCACTGAGCCAAGGTGGTTGAAGGGAGGGGGGTGGGGCTTTGCCCACTGGCCTCCCTCTCACTCTTTTTTAAAATGCAGGCTGCGGCACGCCCAGGTATGCAAGACGTCAGCACTGAAGCATGGCAGGGACCTGGCACAAGGTGCGCCTGGCAGACCGGGCTGTGCTTTGGGTAGGGACAGGTCCTCTGCACCTGTCTCTGGAGACTGACTGATCCATACTTTCTCAGACCCAGCCTGGACAGAAATCTTCATGGTTCTCTCTGTGGCAGCCATTAAGTTTGAGATGCTTAGCACAGCTCCACAGAGTCAGGTGAGCCTGAGTGCCCAGCAGGGATAAGGCTGGGAGGCAGGGTGTGTGGTGGCTGTCCTCTCTCCCTGCAACTGCACCCCTCATTCCTCAGCTTCTCCTGGCCCTGACTGACAACATTTCCACGAAGGGTACCAAAAGTGGCACCTTTGTCATGTATAATTGTGCACGTCTCGCTACACTCTTTGAGGGTTATGAGTGCAGCATGGAACAAGGTCTGTACCCAACTTTCCCACCTGTGAGCAGTCTGGATTTCTCCCAACTACATGATGAGGTGAGTGCCCTTCCTGGGGAGCTGGCACATACAGGAGGCTGGGGCCTTTCCCTCCCATCACCCTTGTCCCCCACAGGGTGAGTGGTTGCTGCTCTTCAACAGCGTCCTCCCCTTCCCAGACCTGCTGAGCCACACAGCAGCCCTGGCCTGCACAGCCCCGGGGCTCCACATCACAGCACGCACAGAGATGGTGAGGCAGAGAGGACCAAGACAGACTGCATACACTATTTATTCTGGTCTGGGGCACAGAGACAGGCCAGTGACTCGTCTCTGTCTCTAGGTTTGCAAGTTCCTGGTACAGCTCAGCATGGATTTCAGCTCATACTACAACCGTGTACACATCCTAGGGGTAAGCACACAGCAAAAGGGGGTAGGTACATTGTGGGGGGGGGGCGGTGCAGGGGAAGTAAAGGATGAGACCAGCAGGCCCCCTCTCTCCTTTAGGAGCCTCGACCACACCTGTTTGGTCAAATGTTTGCCCGTCTGCAGCTTCTGCGGGCTGTGCGTGAAGTGCTCCACACTGGGCTGGCCATGCTGGGTCTCCCTCCACTGAGCCACATCTAAGGCCACAGAGGCCCCAATAACTGGGAATGTCCACAAAGTCATCAACTGAAAGAGAAACCCCCCACCAGATTTTATTAGAGACCTGGAGCCAAAATAAACTGGCTTGATACAAAGTTTTATTCTGTTGTGGGGAGCGTTGGTCTGCACAAGCAGCAGTCTACTCACCTCCAGGTCCTGCTCTGAAGTCAGGAACCCGCGGCTGCCTCCTCCTCCCCTCAGTGCACACTGGGCATGGGCACAGACAGTCACTCCTGCACCATCCTGTCTGTGAGCAGGCCCCATGCCCAGCACACCGGCCACCGCGGGACACCTCAGTCATACCAGTTGTAAACCTCAAGACCCTGGCCCCCAAGAGCACAGCGGTGGCCAAACTCAGGACTCACGGGCCAGCAGTCCATGTCGGCCACATCTGGTACGTGATACACTGTACTGTTCATGAAGGTGGGCTCACCATGCCCCAGGCGCCAGAAGGTCAGCCGTTGATCGATGGAGGCTGAGACCATGAGGCTTGGGCTTAAAATCTTGAGGCCAGTGACGTGGGCAGCATGTGCACAGGGAACAGAATATTCCTCTAGCACTTGCAGCTGGGGCACCAACTCAGCACCTCCCACAGCCTCTTCCAGCTCTGGCATCTCCACAGCGAGCACAAAGACATGGAGGGAGCCATCCTCACTGCCACTGGCCACGAGATGACCCTCACGAGTGGGCAAGGTGTGCAGGCTGTTGACACCACAGCTGTGTGCCTGGAGGGTCAGGCAGGGGGTGCCCAGCCCTGGAGGAAGAAGATGGCAGTCAGGGCCCAGTCTGCCACATGGGTGAGTGCAGCGGGGACATGGGGGGACAACCACAGCTTTATTCTAGCTACTCACGGTAGGGAAGCCCAGGGTCCGTTGGAGACTCCAGGGCAGTGGAGCCATGGTCCAGCACAGTGGTGAGATCCCAGAAGGCCAAGCTGCCGTCCGTGGCTGCACTGCACAGAAACAGCCTCCTGGCAGCCAGGGAAGGGCAGCTGGGTCAGTGAGGAGGGTGGGTGGAAAGCAAAAGGAGCCCCCACCCAACCCATGAAGGACTACCATGCAGCCATTCTCACCGCCGCTGATTGGGTGCCTCATGTGAGAAGGAGTGGACCTTGAGGACACACCGCTTGTGGTGGAAGGTTTCAGCCAGGAGCTGCAGCTGCCGCCCAGAGTCCTGCAAGAGAAAGAGCCTGGGGGGGGCGGGGGGGGGGGGCCCAGCTCACAGCCCATTCTGGACATCCTTTGGTCTCCTTTGTCTCCCAGCCCCCTTGGTCCTATATTCTCACCTCACTGCCCCATCACTACAGGCTGCAGCCACAAGGGGACCAAGGCCAGGCTGATCAAGCTCACATACGGCGAGGGACATGTACCTGCAGGAACAATACATAGCCATCAGGTGACACCTGGGCACAGCTACACAGGGCTTGCCCTGCATGCTCCCACCCCATGCTCCTCTCTGGCAGGGTTCCTCACCTGGTCTCTGGGTCCACTTTGATCATCCGGTGCCGATTGCGCTGCCGGTCCCAGTACTCATCCAGCCGGTGGGATGACAGGTGCATGACATGGCAAGCAAGGCGGCTTGGGGTGCTGGGGTCTGGGGTGACCATGATGCTGAAGCAGTGCATCTCAGCCCGGCCCCCCGCAGACACCACATGGGCAGTCAGGCCTGGCCGAGGATCCTGAGGGCCACCTGGGGTGCTAGTGCCCCACACAGCCACTGCACGCACGGAGGAGATATGGTTGCAGACAGCTGTAAGCGCATGGGCTGAGCCAGTGACTGTGGGGAGTGCCAAGACACAGACAGTAGTGTCCTCGCTGCTCGTGATCACGATGTCGATCAGGCCAGGCCCCTCACAGCTGGGCTCCAGGTGGTCAGGCTGCATGAAGCTGGGCACCCCAAATTCAGGCCCCAGGGTGATGGTGCCCACACGCTTTACGCAAGTGATCTCACGGCCATGCAGGCTCTCTCGTAGAATCACATGTGGCCGGGTGCACCCACCCAGAGCCCGGTACAGCATGACATCTCCATCCTTGAGGTAGGCAAAGGCCATAGCTGCCTCGGTATCAGAGAAGGCCCAGGAGCGATGCCCTCCACCACAGTTGATGATGTGCAGTTTCTCATGTGAGCGGGGGCTCCACACCACAAACTCATTGGCATGGAAACCCAAGATGACCATGCTTCCATCAGCCACCATACGGACCCCAGCCACCCAGTTCATGCCTCGACAGGACTTCTGCCGTAGGACTGGCTGGAGTTGGCCACCTCGCACAAAGAGCTGGTAGTAGGCACCATCCCGCCCTGTGGTGTACACGTAGCCACCATAGCAGGTCACCGAAGTCACACCCTGCTTCCCATGCAGAGAAGGGAGGGTGGACACAGGGCCCCATTCAGCCAAGGTGCTCTCACACCCATCACTGCCACTACCGGCTCCAAGTGCTCCAGTACCAGCCCCAGCCTTGCCTCCAACCCCAAGATCCTTGAGCAGATCTGGTCTGGAGGGGAACAGCAACACGGAGCCCCTGCGGTCCCCACACACCAGGAAGTCGCCCGGGGGCAAGAAGGCACTGCACGTGTGCCATCTCTGCTTACTTGGAGGTAGCAGGTACCTGCAACGTTCCTTGACAAATATAGCCTTGCCGGTGGGTGCAGCAGAGATCTCTAGGCAAGCCACCACGCCACCAGGGCCTGATGCCAGCAAAAGGAGCTCCTCGTAGCCACGCAGGGCCCAGCTCAGGCTGTGCACCTTCCCGTGGAACAGGGTCAGGTCCACAGCTGCAGTTGGAGTGTTGATGGGGACAACCTTGACACAACCCTCCCCATTGGCCATGGCACACAGTCCGAAGCCCTCAGGACCAGGGGCTGCCTCCAGGAGGCAGTAGGACTGGAAGCGCTTGTCCTCCAGCAGCTGCTCCCAGCACTTGACCTCGAGGTCATACAGGTACAGGGCCCCCGCATCTGTCACTGCCAGTACTCGCCATGAGCCAGCCAGCGTCACAGCCTTAAGGGCACCTGGCCTGCTACTGGACTTAAAGCAGAGAGCCGAGACCCCTGAACCCGGGTGCCCACGCCCCACCAGGTGCCACAGACGGATGCCTGAGTCGTCCCCTCCAGTGATCACCCAGGCCTGCCTTTCATGGGCAGCTATGGACCGGATCCCACGGCCCTGGTGGCCCCGAAAGGCCTGGAGGATTTCGCCTTCATGGCTCCACACCAAACAGACGCAGTCTTCTCCTGCACTGATAAGGTAATTCTCTAGGAGCTTGACCTGCCATACACGGGCGCTGTGCCCAAAGCAGTGCCCAATATTCTGCACCCGACCCCCAGGCACTCGCAGGTCACCCACCTTCCAGAGGCGAACACTTCGGTCTTCTGAGGCCGTGGCCAGCAAGCCCTTGCTTTCCAGGTATGACATGCTGAAGATGACTCCCACGTGCCCACTGACCCGGCGGTCGGGGGCTACAGGCTTATTATCTATTAAAGCGGCTGCTGGGTACCAGACCAGGAGCTGGTTGGAAACGGCACCCGCCACTATGGTCAGCTCCTTCCAGGTGTCTCCAATCAGACAGGCTGAGGAGAGGGTGCACCTGTCCGTGCAGGGCACGTCCTGCAGGATGCACCCTACCACAGGGTCGTATAGCACCACTGAGTTGTGGCCCAGTGCCAAGGCTATGTTCCCCTCAAGCCAACGTGCATCCCAGATCCAGTCAGACATGTTCCACAGGCCAGAGCGCCAGAGCTCTCGGAAGCGGCCCTGCCCCCAGCTAATTTTTACAATTCGGAGTCCCTTGCTTCCAAATACTGCCACCATGGCTTCCGAGTCAAGGTCTCCGCTGGGTTCTGGTCGCACCCGAAACCCATGGATAAGATAGTGGCCAAGCAGGTTCTGCACTCGTTTCATCATCCGCAGATGTCCACCAAAATCCAACGTGTACACCAGGACATCTGGCCCCTCACCTAGACAGAGGCAAAGAGCCACATCAGAACCCCTCACCCAACTGATGAGCCATGAAGAAGAGACAGGGAGCAGGGAAAATTCTTAGTATGTAGCCTGTGAATGCCTTACGTCACTCAATCCTGCAGGCCTGAACCTTAGAAAATCCTTGGTCTCCGCTTCAGCTGTACTTTCAGTGCTGACTTTCTGATCCCCTGGTCAGTCGCATTCAGTCTCCTCAGCCCACCTAACTTCTCATGCTTCAGACAGGAACCCTCTCAGCTTTAGTCCCCAAATCCTTGGTCTCCTTTACCTCTACATGCCTTCCTCCCCCTCCCCCAGGGGAGAGGTGGTCCCAGTAAGGCAGCCTTTCTACCTTGGGGCCACAGCAGAACCCTTCCTGATTTCCAGGAGCTTCTCTGTATCTCTGAAGATGTGAGCATGTTCCATATCAATAGGGAGAGGCAGCCCACACTCCTGTGACCCTCTGCTGCCACTTGGCTGCCCTGCAGGCACCTCCCACTCTACTAGCTTCCAGTTCTCTCTGCTCCTCATCCGATCAGTGACCATTACCACCCTCTGCCCACTCCCCAGCTCAAAACCGGGAAGCCCATTCCTCTAACTTCTCATATCCTGTCTCCAAGTTCTGCACATTTCATTTTCTAAAGAGTGCAAATCCCACTACAGTGACTTTGGTTCAGGACATCACCTCAACCTGAGATGACAGCAGCAATCCCGCATGCTATTCCCAGCTGGCAATCTCAATCTTTTGACATTCAATAAACATTTATTGAGCATTGATTATAAACCAGACAATGAACTATATGCTGGAGTAGTGAATAAGACCTTGCTCCTGGATTGGGCAGACATTAAACAATATCACACGAGTAAACATAATTTTGGTTAAGTTCCAGGAAAGAATTATACAGGTTGCTTTAAGAATATAAAATGGGAAAGTCTACTCCAGTAGTTTGCAACAATTTTTCCCCCAAAAGACATCTGGCAATGTCTGAAGACAGTTTTAGTTGTCACAACTGGGAGGTGCGCTGTTGGCATCTAGGAATGGAGGCTGGGATGCTGCTAAACATCTTACAATGTACAGACAGTCCCACACAAAATAATCTGATCCAATATATCAAGAGTGCTGAGACTGAAAAACCCTGGTCTAATCTAACCAGACTGGGTGACTGTCAGGGGAGGCCAACTTGAGGACATTTAGGCTGAGGAATCAAGGATCAGCAGTAGTTAGCCAGAGGGAAAGCAGACAGGAGGGAGAGGGGGTGAGCCTTTCTTGGTAGAGGAAATAGCGAGGGTAATGGCCCTGAGGTGCGCAAGAGCTTTGGGTAGAACAGGAAACAAAGGGCTCAAGGATGGGCTAGAGAGAATGCTACTGAGGTCAGAGACAGTGCCATGGCCTCAAATGATGGCAATAAACATAGAAAAATAGACAGATGCCACATGTATTAAGTACAGATCAACCAGACTGGCTTGGGGGAGTGAGGTCAATTCTTAGGCTTGGGACACCTGAGTGGCTGGTGTTCCCCTAATGAGCTGGAACACCCCCACAGGGGTAATTCAATTTGTAGGCACCTATGCACTTAAGCCTGGCGCACACAAGAGAACAGGGCTCGGAATTCAGATTACAGGTACAGATTACATGGGTGGGATTTGAGAACTATCAATATAAAAGTCACTTTGGAAGTCACAGGAATAGGCGAATTCCCTTTAGAGCTTTCTAACCTGTTTCCCAAGCCACTCCCCCGCTTAAAACCTTTCAGTGGGGCCACCCCACCGCCATTAGGGATAAAGGCAGATCTAGGCCTAAAATGGTCAGGCCTCTTCATTTTTCCAGCCTCTTCTCCTAGATCCCCACCCCTGCTGAAGCCGCACAAGAATTCCGTTTCCCACAAAGTGACAAATTCAGTCTCAAGACCTTTGGCATGCTTACTCTCTGCCAGGAACTCACCCCTTCTCTTCTAGCTTCTAGTTCACCCTTGCGGTTCTTTGGGTTTCTCCCTAGCTATCCCCTTCCTCCAGGAGTCTTAGGGGTGCAGCTCACAGTAAGAACCCTGGGCTCCCAGAGCTCCCACGGCAGATCAAAACTAGGCCGTCTCTCGCCCCATCCCCCACCCCTACAGATCTGTCCCTCTTAGGATTGAGAGCAGCCCACTGAAGACTTGACAGCCAATGCCCTGCCTCGGGACCCTTAAACTAAGCAGCACCATCATCGGTCCCTAGTGGCTTCTAGTCAGGACTCAACTGCTCTCCAGGGCTCTGCCACCTCAGATCCCTGACCGTTGCTTCCGGAGCCGACCCTCCTCGGAGGGGCACAGACATCGGATTCCTGGACCCCAAACATCTCGGGAGGGGCCTGAGCCTCCGCCTTCCCGAGCAGTGGCCTGCTCAGAAAGGTCTCACCCCACATTTCCCGCGACCCCATGCTGGTCAGAGGCTCTTCATCCCCGCCTTCCAGTTAAGAGCCTCAACCACCGTCCCCTCCCACAACAGGCCATGCTCCCGGCCCTGGACCCGCCCACCTGGGGGAGGGCGGTGCTCATCACCGACCTCCCGTCACGTTCTCTTGCGGGAGACCAAGCCCCTGCCCAGATCATCGAAGCGGCCACTGGCGTCTCTCCCTCCCCTTGCCCCGCCGACTGCATTTCCCCGCACCTTTCCGCCGCCCCACCCACCGCGTCAGCCGCAGTGTATGAAGGGCCTCTGTAGCCCTTTGTTTCCTGGGCTCCTCTGGCCGGGCCTCAGTCCCGCCATCTCTCAGGCTCCCGCCCGCCGCCCGTCCTCTTCCGAGCATCCCTTTGTTCTCAAGCCCCTTCCCCAAGCAAGCCTTCGGTTTCTCCTCCGCTAGGGCGCGCGCCTCAAGCCAACGCTCACCCGCCAACAGCCGCTCCCCAACGCATTCCAGACCCGTGACCGGGAGGAGTATAAGCTCCGAGGTTGCCCGCGGCCAAATGTAGTCCGCGTAAGCGTCCATGTCGGTCCCCGAGCCGCTGCAGCTGCCACCGTCAAGAAAGGAGGCGAGCTCTCGCGAGACAAGCCTTCCCGCGCGCCGCGCAGCCGCTCTACAGCGCCCGTAGCAACAGGTAGCAGAGGCAAGGGGCGCCCGGCCCCGAGGTCCAATGACGACCGCCCTCCGCCGCACAGCGTCCGGCTGGGATTGGCTGGGCCGCCCTCGCCCCCACTTCACGTGACGTCCGCTGCACGCCCCCGGCCGCCGCCTGCTCCGACCCGCCCAGTCTTCCTCCCTCCCACCCACCTGGAGCTTATTGAGTCTGCGGCTCCAAGCCGTGGTTTTATTTGTCGGGGCAGCACGGGTCTGTACACAATAAATAACATGGCTATAGGAACTGTGACCCGATCGCGGCTGGAGGCGGGGGTGGACCAAGATACCGGCCAGGCCTTTGGCCTGCAGCTGGACAAGGGGACGGCATGGCCCCCGACCTCGGGCGGCCGGCGACCTGCGGCTGGGGACCCGGGTCGACACTCCCCTCAGAGCTCCACGCGCGCATCGCCGTAGGCCCGGTCCAGGGCCCACTCCGGCTGCGAATCGGAGCCACCTTCGCGGGCCAGGCGCGCCATCTCCTGCTGGAATAGTGCCTGCCGTGCCCGGCTGGGGTCCACGTTGATCCAATTGTTAGCTATCCACTTAGTGCCGCGCGTGACCAGGCAGCCCCCGTGCAGTGAGTAGTCGTCCACGTCGCCCACCCAACCTAGGAGAGGAAGATGGTGTGAAAAAGGGGCGGGGCCAGAGAGACTAGGCTGGGCAGACCCGAACTTGTGGGCTGATCTGAACTTGACCTCACATAGCCCAAGTGCATGGCAGAGGTGGGCCTAGCTGTGCACACCTTCAGTGGCAAAAATTTGGCTCTAGGGCCTCCTTGGGGGCTCAGCATCTCTTTGTAATGAATGGCTTATCAACACCATTGGCCCTCTGAAACCAGCTTTCTTGCTGCTAGGCCTGTCCACAGCCCTTCTTAGTATGGGTTACTAAGGGACATGTGTCCCTAGCCCCAGTGAGCTGGAAGGCTGGAGCATCAGGAAATCACAGGGTTCCAGATAACCCAGGACGCTGCACAGGTGCAGGCTGCTGAAGTCACTGAGGATGGTCTCTGGGCGGCACTAGGAGCAGAAAACCATTTGAAGGGCAGCCGGAAACAGCTCACCAGAGTGTCAGGCAATGCTGGGTAAAGGGAAGCTTCCCTCAAGGCAGCCCTGGGCTGGCCACAGGTCCTCACCTTGCCCATCAGGCAGGTAGTTGTACCAGAAGACTGCTGTGCCCTGGCGGGGCTTGACACGCAGGTTCCCCTTGTCACAGTGCCTCCGAGTGTCACGGAGGTCAACGTCATCCTGAATCAGACTCTGTGGGCAGCAGGGTGGTATAGTTTTCAAGCTACTCCTATTTTATGGCCAGGAGCTGAGGCCAAGCAGCCAAACAAATGTGGCCAGAGGGAAACCAGTCAGATGTGCCCAGGGGACCACTCAGATCCCAGGTCTTGAGGATACTGGTATGAATTACATTTGCCCAAGGCCCTGCCATCCCACCAGAGTAACTGCCCAGTTGTCCCTTACCATTTCATCATAGGTCCTGTTGTCTGCTACAGGGAAGACAGTCTCGCCCCCACCGGTGACGTTGTTCAAATAAAACAGCACTGTCATGTAGCTGTAAGGCAGGGGGGCTGTTGAGCAGGTCCCCAGCTGTGGACACTCCCAGGGGCTTACCTGTGGGCAGGATAAGCTGCCCAGGTTCCCAAGGGCCAGAGGGGCAGGCTGGGATCAGTGACAATAGAGCAGGTCAGTGCCAAGATGCCCCCAGTCCATTCTTCTCCCCACAAACCCAGTCTTTCTGTGTATCACAATGTCTTTTGGCAGCCAAGACCACAGGTTCACCTAGCTAAACTACATGGCCTGAACCAAGGGCCAGCTGGGTAAGGTAGGCTAGCAGAAGCAGCAAGATCATGCAGGGGGCTGGCGGCGACTAGAAGGGACTGAGCCAGAGCAGCCACATGAAGAGAGACCTGCCACCATGCCTTGGCAGGGGAGGGGCACACAGCTTCAAAGGCGTAGAGCAGGTGGAGACAGGATCAGAACCAGGGGAGGGGGCAGGAAGAACTGGTGGGGTCTAACCTCGCCCCTTGCCTGAGAGCTATGGGGGTTAGTTTCAGTGTCTGTGGGTCTCTCAGTCTGGCCACTGAGATAAGATGGCCACCCTTTTGGGGCCACTTGGTAAACACCCTGGGGGGAAGGGTATCCTCGACCAGGATGGCCCAGAGCTCTCCAGGCGCCAGATAAAAGGGCATAGCCTCAGGGCAGGGCTGCACTTGTGCCATGGGGGTGCCTGGTCTGGGAGTTGAAGGCAGCTCCCAGGTGGGAGGTACTTGCCGGCAAGAGGTCTCGAAGGGTACAGACTCATTGGCCACCAGCTTGGTATGGGAGCAGATGGTCTCTGGGTACACAGGCCCGCTGTCCACGTGGGCATGGTAGTGGCCTCCCTCACCATACCGCACGACCTGCAGTGGCTCGCTGAGCTCCACGATCTCAGGTGAGAGTTGGGTGAGACGCAGCACCCTGGTGGGCAGCAGGCAGCATTCAGCTGGGCAAGCCCTGTGCCGGGTGGCACCCTGAAGGAGCTGCCAAGGTAGACCCTGGGCCTGCCACAAGCACTGCCCCTGCCTATTTCTCCTGGAAGCCCCTTAAGCCACCCCAGACTGGCCCTCCGGGAGCAGGAAGGGGTTACTCATGATGGGCCCTTCTCCCTGGATGCCAGAGACATCCACTGGGTGGGAAAGATGAGATTTCCACTCAGTTGGGGGAGGGGGTGAGAAACGCCGTCCGGGAAGAAGGTTGTTTATCTAAAGCCCGACTGCTCAGGGGCAGGGGGTCCTGTGGAAAGAGGTAAGAGGTCATTTCTCTAATTAGCAGAAAACAAACATTCCACCTATTCCTAATCCCAAATGAATATTGTTTGCCCACAATTAGGGCTAATTTCCCTTTGTTAACTGCCTAGTTCCTAATGGGTCCCAATCCTGATCTAACAAGTAGAAATTAATCCTGAGTTGGCTAATCAATTCTGTTCCCTGGGACGCAGCCAGGGACTTCTCCCACTGCAAAAGGGAGGGCAGCCTCAGATGCTCACCTCTGGCGGATGGCGCGCATGACGTGGTGGGCACCTTCACCCTGGTAGAGCCACGTGTGGTGGCTGTTCCGCACCAGCTCGCTGGACTCTGCCTTATGGCTCTTCATGTACTTGTGAAAGTCTCGAAGGTCCATGTCGGAGAACTCCTGCAGGCTCAGCACTCCTGCACAGGGCACCCACCATCAACGCCCACCAAGCTCATGGCGGGAGGCCACGGTGGGGAGGCTGCACCTTCCTACCTACCCCTGGCCTCAGGCACTGGGGGGCCATATGCACCTGTCCCCCAACCTGGACTCAGGTCAGATGAAGTTGGCTTCTGTCACATCAGGCCCTACAGGAAGACCCAGAGAAGTTCATTTTCTCAGTTTAAGCCCTGATTTGGCCCCAAAGGATGAAACCCAACCCCTATTAGATTGGCCAGAGTAGGGTCTCCAAAGGAAGCTTAAGCCATATGGCCAGGACCCTAGGCCAAGGACTGCCCCGGCCCTCCAGCCTGGCTCTGTAGAGCGTGGTGGCTACCCTGCGGTCCTGTAGAGGGTGAAGAAAGAGAGCATTCAGTGCTGGCTTTTGTCCAGGGCCTTCCACACTACAGAAGTCCCCTCATGACCTCAGGTCCCATCCTGAGCGGAATACACCTGGCGGGTCCTGCCTACTAGGTAACCAGCCCACCTCAGCAGAAAAAGCCAGGCCATGCTCCCAAATGAGAACATTCTCCCCTGTTCTTGCTCCATGTTATCGTGGCTGACCCCCAACTGAGACACTTCCATGCTTTGGCCCAGATTTCTCTGATGGTGGGGGCCCTCAAGGGCTGTGAGTCTGTCACTAGCTCTGTACGTAGGGGCAGTAGCAGCATGACACCCCTCTAGCCACAGGCCCTGGCCAGATTCTCCACTCTGGGTTCACCAGCCACAAGGCTGTTCTTCCAAGTCCTGTGTGGCAGATGTATCTTCCTCAGTCGGTTCAGAAGTTGGGCATGAGGGTGATGACTACACCTCAGAAACCTCCTAGGGGTTATTACCAAATGGGTGGGGTGCTTACACGACAGCACCTCTGCCCACGCCCACCCCCAGCAGTTAGCATGACTCCAGGTGGGCAAGAGGAAGGCAAGGGGGACCTTGGTTCAAGCAGGGAGGCAGTCTGCTGGGGCGGACTGTGTGCCTGGCTGGAGAGGTGAAGCTGGAGCAGAATGAACAGCCAAACTCAAGCGGATCTCACTGTCCCTCTGCTCCTGCTCTACTACTCTGTCCTCCACCAGCCAGCAACCCTACCTCCTGCACCCAGATGCTGCCTGACAAGGTCGAAAAAGTCTCCAAGAACTGCCTTGGAGACTGTCACCAAGGGGAATGGGAGGGCCGGGCTCCTGCCTACTTCCCAGGGGTAAGGCCAAGGCTGGATCCTCACCTCTTCATCTCTGGCTACTCTAGAAGCTGTGCATACAGGCTATCTGGCTGTGAGGGCTCACAGGGGCAGAACTGTGGCGAGGTATGAGCTCACCGTCACCATCAGGGTCAGCCTTGATCGCAGAGTACATCTCCTGAATGTTCTCTGGAGTCATCCACCGTCCATTTCCCAGGCGAGTCTGGGCCAGGACCTAAAGCACAAATGGTGCCTCAGTGGTGTGGCCCCAATGACGGAGAGTCACCAGAGTAAAGACAGCCCCCCAGTTCTTGCTATAGGGCTAAGAGCTCAGGAGACAGGGCCTAGGTGAGGACACAGGACAGAGACCGAGTTCCCTGAGCTGGAGTGAGGGTAGGCAGAGAGGTCCAGAGGCACATGGGTAGGAGGCCAGGAAGATAGTCAAGAAAACTGAGAGCCATAAGCATTCCCAGCCCACACAGGCCTAGATGGGGAGCACTGTTGGCTGGTTGGAAGCAGAGTGAAGGACAGACCTATGTTCCACTCAGACACTCCAGGTGAGGTCGGGGAGGCCAAGGCCTGGGTGTGAAGAGGGAACAGGCACCATGGGGAGGCCTGGCCAGCAAATGACCACTGGGGCCATTAGGAGGACCAGGCTCAGTGAGGGCCTCTGTATAGGCAAGGGACCCTACACCCCACCAAGACCACTCTCAAAAGCCTGGGTGTGGGGTTTGCAGGGAGCGGCAGACTTCTGGCCCCCTCTGAGCTACCACCCCACCCACCATGAGTTCTGTGGGGCCCCCAGCAATGGCAGCAAGGAAATCAAACCACAGACAGCACACCACCCAGGAACTGTGGCAATAAATGCCAAAACCCCCAGGTGAATTCTGCCATCCTCTGGGGTTCCCAGGGCAGCAAGGGGCTCTCCAGGGAAGGAGGGAGGACCCTGGGCCTGGGCCTGTCCAAGCTGATCTGAGGTGGCATCTGACTCTTGAGGCCAGAACTGATCAGCACAAGAGAACTGGCCACCAAAAAGATAATTCTGGGTACCCCCACCCTGGTGCCTAATCCAGGTCCCAGGATCCCAACCTCACGGAGCTGCAGGCGACCATCGCGGTTCTGGTCCAGCAGCTGGAAGAGGTCCAGCTGGCTGATTTGCATTGTGCCCATTGCCTCTTCGTACTCTTCGGTGGGCAGGATCTGGCTGCGCTGTAACCCCTTCATCTGTGCCAGGTGGATGATGAGCCGACACTCCTCATCACTCAGGAAGCCAGGGATTTCTGCCAGAAGAGGAGGTGGGTGAGGCCAAGGTCCAAGCCACGGCACTGATGCACCCACTGCCTATCTCTCTGCAGAGTTCCTGGGTACTCCCTGTCCCCTGCTGGTCACCAAGTCAGGAGGACTCCACATACCCCTTTACATCTGTTCTGGACTCTGACCCCAAGGTCAAGTTGTCCTGCAAAGGTTGGCCAGTGTTTGGAGCATGGGGCCTCTCTCTTTGATGCTGAGAGCACACATTTTCCAGGGGAGTCTTGGGAGGTGAGCCAGAGGTAAGCTGGGTGTGGGCTAACCCAATCTGGGGTGAGACCAAAGGCCAGAGGGTTAACCTCTACTCTTTAATGGGTATATATTTTAAAAGCAGGGGGATGGTGGCTGATTTTTGCTTTCATTATTACTTTTCAGCGTTGTTCAGACAAAAACAAAGCAAAGACATCCAGCACTGTAGGCCAGCCCTTGCCCTCCATTCTCCTGCACAAGTGGGCACTGGTCATCTGCCCAGGGATGAGCTGCCCAGTGCTGGGAGGTCAGTGGGGATCACTCAGGTTTTTGGCAGATGCTCTGAGATGTCCCAGTGTCCTTTGTTTTGGGAACAGATGTACACTGAACACCTACTCCATGCCCCTAAGTGCGAGTAAAGGCCAGTCAGGCCTGGGGCTTGGCCCCAGTGGCTGGATACCCCCACACCAGTTCCACAAGCAGCTCGCTAGAGCTGGAATGGGTGCCTCACACCTGGTGAGCCCACAACCCAGGGGCCCCAGGCACGTCTAGGCTCAGAGCCTGAGTCCTGCTTCATTCCCTTGTTCCTGGAAGAGAAGACTTCCTAAGACAGGGGGACAAGAGGCCCACAAAGGAACTGACGGGAGGAAGGGCCGTGCCGCCACTGTGGTCTGCCACTTCTCTGGATTATTCTCCCAGCGTGAAGTTCCAGTCATTGCCAAGAGGAAGGAAAACGGCCACCCAGAGCCAAGACTGGAGCAGCTTTTAACAGTAATCACAGCAGATCACACTTAGGTAGCACAGACTCTGTGTCCTGTCACAAGCTTGTCATCAACTCTGAAATCTGAATACTCATCCTAGAAAGAGACCCCGTTAACTCGCCCACCCTCCCCATGAGAAGCCTCCAGCGCAGAGAGATCAGGGAGCTGGCCAGGGCCACGCAGGCTGCTGTATTCCAGACCCCATGCTCACAACCAGACTCAGCTTCCATGGGTAGGTGACCCAGAGTGATGACACTGAGGACAGGACAAGGGCTCCTCGCCCCTGGCCTGCTTGATCCCCCCAACCTGGCAAACCCAGAGAGGGTGTGAGCCATCCCCTGGGGAGCAGCGCTGCAGGACAATGGGTTAGACCAAACTGCTAATCAACAGACTCGGCTCCTGATGGCTTAAAAAATAAACAAACAATTAAGTAAGCCAGAAAAAGAAAAGAAAACACAGGCCCAAGTTTCTTCAGTTTATTAGGTGCCAGTAATCCGCAGGCCCAAAGGAGATGCCACCAGTCTCTGAAGTCCCCTGCCATGTGCTAATCAAAAGCAAACAGCCCAGGCCAGCACACTGGAGCCTCACCAGGTGGGTCTAAGCACCTGGGAGCTGGGCAAACACTGGTTCCTGGGGTGTGGGTATAGCCCTATAAAGCCCCCAGCCTCAAGCCATTAAGACCAAGGCAGAGAAAGCAGGTGATGGATCGAGGACCGTGGCTGCTGGTGGCACTGGTGGTACTATGGGGTGACGGCGGGGAAGGGGCTCCCTGGGGCCCCACGCGGTGCATGCCCATTCCCCAGGCCATGGCCCTGTGCCACGACATTGGCTACACAGAGATGCAGCTACCCAACTTGCTGGACCATGACACTGCAGCTGAGGCCATCCAGCAGTCAGTCAGCTGGTTGCCCCTGCTGGCCAGGGAGTGCCACCCTGATGCCCGCCTCTTCCTGTGCTCCCTCTTTGCCCCCGTGTGCCTCGACAGGTAGGGCAGGGGCTCCCAGGTGAGGGCGGGGGGCCTTCACTAGCCACTGCCGTGTACCTATCAGTGCCGAGTGCCAACGGGAAGATGAAGGGTTTTTTTTGTCAAGGCGATGCTGGAAGAGAGGAGCAGGTGCCCACGGGACAGAGGAGACATAGGCAGGGAACTACCAATGGTGAGCGCCTTTGATCTGGATCCACAAATCATCAAGGGCTCCAGAATGTCAAGGGAGGGCAAGGCGATAGGCTGCTTTAGGCTAGGGGGCTGAGGACCCCTCTCCAGTGGAAAGTCTGTCTGCCCAAGGGATCTGGGCAAGACATAGAGCCACGGCTCATCTGGTGGCCTTTTTTCTCAGGGAGTCCAGAGACTGCAAGGCTGATTCCTCTTCCCCAGCCTAACCTATCCCGGGAACAACAGCTCCTTCAGTTTCTTCCTTGCAGAGCCAGGACCTGGAGCCTCAGGGTGACCATGCCTGTGGCAGCAAGAATGGGCTTTCTCAGAACCTGAGGATCGGGCCTTTTCAATCCTTGCCAACCCCAGGACTGGCCAGAAACTGCAGCAACCTGCAGGCATTTCAGGACAAGAGGGAGATCCTGCTTTCTCCCTCCAAGATGGGGAGTGAGGGCCCAGAGGGCAGGGCCCCTCCCACACCCCTCTCCCAGGCACTAGAAGTCCACCGGAGCTGCAGGAGGAGGTGCACTGGAAACTGGAAAGGAGCCGGGCTGGGGGAGGGGAGGTAGGAATACAAGACAAGAAGGGAGATTCAGGGCTGAGGGCGAAGATTACAGCTGGCAAGCAAGAAGCCAGGCTGCAGGGCTGTTGCTATGTGACCAGGGTGTCGTTGCCCAGCAACAGTAGAGTTCCTGACCAAGCCTGGAGCTAGGAGCACCAGAGGCCCCAGCCTGGAGTCTAGGAACCCTGGTCCTAGGTGTCCCACTGGCCCTGACCTCTTCCCCCTCCACAGGGTCATCTACCCGTGCCGCAGCCTGTGCGAGGCTGTGCAGGCCAGCTGTGCACCCATCATGGCCTGCTACGGCTACCCCTGGCCAGCCATCCTGCACTGCAGACGCTTCCCCACGGGCCATGGCCTCTGCGTGGCTGCCGTCTCCAATGGCTCCCGCCCGGGCCGCCCACGTGAGTCTCTGCACGGTTTCTAGGCTGATCTTGCCCTTGCTCGGCCCCAAGGGCTGTGCCCCACCCTTTCGAATCACTCCTCTCAGGGATCAGGTAAATGGGTCTCACAGGTGCGAAAGAACAAAGGGAAAGCGGGAGAGACCGCTGCTGATGGCTCCCCTCCCCAACCCGGGGCCCAGAGGGAGCCTCACTCCACCCCTCCCCCCAGTGCCACGTGCCAGCTGCAGGGACTGTGAGTTGCAGGACACCCGCTCGTCCAAGGAGGTTCTGGACACGCTCTGCGCTAGCGACTTTGGTGAGCCCCTAGTGTCCGGCACCCCTTACACCCCCTTACAAGTGCCTTCATTGCAGCTCTTGGCTTGAAGCTCAAAAAGAGGGGATATTCAAATGATACGCCTGGTTAGAACTAAAAAATAAGTTCCTTTAATAAGCGTGGGACATTGCTAAAATAACAGCCAGGAGGATAGGCCTTCTCTAGGACCCTGATTCCAAGAGCAGAGCATCAGACAAGAGTCTGGTTCACCAGGTGGAGGGAAGGAGGGGGATACTCCCAGAGGCCAGACCCATCACCCTGCCCCTCTGATCCCATTCAGCAGTGAAAGTTAGGCTCTCCCGGCGCAATGGGTCGTCCTCCGGACCCTCAGACTGCGACCTGGACTCACGGCTAGAGGTTCTGAAGGCGGGCCCACTGTCTCCTGGGGAGCTGGCGCCCACTCTGCGACGCTGGCTGCAGCTGGATGCCACGTGCGTGCACAACCTCCTGCGTGGAAGGCATGCTGGGACCTACGTGCTGTGTGGGGAGGTACTGGGTCACCGTCTGCTGGTAACCACGGCCTATGCTTGGAGCCAGGGCCACCGAAATCTGCAGTTGGCTGTGCGCAGGTGGCGCCATCACCAGTGCCCAGAATAGCGGCTAACGCAGGCAGGGAGAGCCTGGGACTTGACAGCCACAGCCTCTGCAGTGGTCACGTGAACCATGTGCTCCCCTGGACACACATAAAACCTTCTTTCTGCTGCCCTCCATGGATATCTGCAGATCAAGAGTCCAGAGAAGCCCCAAGGCTCACCCAGGACTGGCTCAAGTAGGATGGAACCCCACCTACATGGTCACAGTGAGGGGCCCCTTCCTGAGCCAGTAGTGCCCTGCCTGGAAAAAGGCAGCTGTGTGTGCTGGGCAGGCAAGACCACCTTTCTGTCCCTCCCAGAACTGGGATGTCAGCCTGGCTGATGCCCTGCTACTGCCCACAAACTCCGACACCCTACACTGAGCCTTGGGGCAGGCGTGCAGCCTCAGGTTACACTCACCCAGGCCCCATGCAACTTGTCAAGCCCCAGGCAGACTCGATTATATCTTCCTGACTTTTACTGGGTCCACAGTTCTGCCCAGCAGCAGGCTTGTGGAGCAGCAGGGGGGTGGGTGCATACAGAAAACTGCATTAAGCTGCTTACAAACATGAACTAATATGCACACTAAAATTCTTTCCCTACTTCTGCGCTTCCAGTGCTTGTCAAGAGAGCATAGTGGTCTTATGTACCTGCCTAATTGTATTTTTTAAGCAGAGAAAGAATGTGTTTGGAAATCCTATGCTAACGCACTGATAGTTTTAAAATAAATCGTTTGTTGTAGTACTGCTGTCAATTACTCATTTATGGGGAGAGGATACAGCTCCATGGTAGAGCGTGTGCCTAGCATGCATGAAGTCCTGGGTTCAATCCCCAGTCACCTCTATTTAAAAAAAAAAATTACTCATTTACCCTAGTTAAGAATGTGTACTAAAACTCTTGCTGGCCCACTGGAAGTGCCCCCCGCTGCTCTTGAAGAGGAGGCGAGTTGGGAGGCACCTGGCCCGGATGGTGATGGAGACCACTCTGAGCAGACAGACAGGTGCTGCGCTGGCTGGCAGTACCCAGTAAACCCCTCCAGGTAGCCAGTAACTGTCAGCAGTAGACTGGCCGCTGCACACACAGTGGGAACAGATCAGGCCTCCCACACATGCAGCTCACCTTTAGGGGCAGAGGCACAACTGACAAATAAATACAGAAGATAGTTTCCAATGAAGCTAAGTGCTGAGAAGAACAACAAGCAGGCTGACGCAGCAGAGTGCTAGGAACCGCTAAGACCAGTCTGAGGTGGAGAGAAGGCTCTGAGGAGGGGAGGTCTGAGCAGAGTGATGGGGGTGAAGGCAACCTCTGTGGGAGAAGCCAAACTGAGCCTTCTGGTGGAGGGAACCGCACACACAAAGGCGCCGAGGCAGCGGTGAGCTTGGTGTCTGAGAATCAGCAGGAAGGGAGTGAGGGGTGGAGTGGCAGATGAGGTTTGAGAGGTGAGAGAGCCTTGGGGATCAGATGAGACTTTGACATGAAATGGGAAATCTTGGAGTCTTTTAAAGAAGGGAGTGAGGAGAGCTGATCTGCTGTTTAAATAAGGAACGAGTGAGGGCTGAGTGAGGTGGAGGGAGAAGTGAACCACCTGAGAGAAAGCAATGTCCCCAGGGAGGTGACAGTGACTCAGAATTGGAAGACCCTCCTTCTGAACTGAATGAGACAGAGCCTCATTCGACGGTCCAAACCCTTGGGAAATGCCTATCAGTCAAATAGGTATTTGCCCGGAACTTAGGGTAGGGCCTTTTATGGCCAGGTCCCACTTGCCAAATGTCTCTAGGAACCAAAGTGGGAAACAGGAAATGTTCCCCAAAGGGAGAGGCTGGAGGCTGCATGGGGATTTCCCTGTGAAGTGGTGAGATGCCTTTCTATGGAGATGGGGACACCCTGAGGTAACACCCAGTCCCTCCTCCCCAGCTTACACTGTGAACACCTACCCCTTGAGCCATGGCATCTTGGGTCCCTGATGGTGGGTCACAGTAGGGTAGTGGTGGCAGAACCCACAGCAGACCCATTCTCCTTGGGCCCTTCCTGCCTCTTTAGGGTGACAGTAGATGGATGGACAGGCAGGCACAGAAGACAGACAGACACTGCTCCTTCTTGGGGTGAGGCTTCCTCCTTTGGATTCATCCAACACCACATTCAGGAATACCCCTCTCTGGACACCCTCTCCCATGTGGCTGGCCTGTCTCATAAGTGGAATTCTTATAATCATTGGTCCCTTCTTCACTTGTCTCACCTCATTTCACCAAGCAGCGAGCCCCAGGCCTTTTCAGGTAAAACCTGGGACATTTTTCACCAAAAGACTCAAAAGTCATGTAAGAGTTTTGGAGGAAATAAGAACCTCAATCAGGAAGGTCTTTCTGCAACTGCCCAGTTCTCCTAATCATGCCCCCTGTCATTCATCTGCAGAAACAGAGACCATCTGACGGCTTAACCAGAATCAACCGACCTTCTGTTCAATCTCTTCTGCTTCCTGTAGTGTACTCTTGGAGAATCTGGGTCTGGGTTTCTCATTCTCTGCTTTGTCGGACTTTGACACAACAAGCTGCATGTTAGGGGGTAAGGGTCAGGGGTTATGGCCTCATGGTTCACTTAACCTAACATCCATCTTAATTAAGTATATACAGGTCCCAAAAAGGCTGATGAGAGAAAGCACACCCGCCTCAGATGTGTCTGTTCACAGCTGTGTAGTAGTGATGGGGAGAGTTGTTCCCTTCGCCTGGACCACCTGTTTCTGACAGCCACCTGGCTTGATCCCACAGCTCCTGCAGGTCTGTGCTCAAATATCTTTCTCAGGGAGGCCCACCCTGGCCAAACCCAGTTGAAGTTCTGCCTTACTGGTCTGTGATCACTTATCACCATCTGACACACCATGTGTGTTTACTTATTTGTTTATTTTCTGTCTGTCTCCTCATCTGAATGTTAGCTTCAGGTGTTTTGTTTTTACTTTCCTGTTTTGTCCAATACTGTGTTCCCAACACCTAAAATAGTGCTATGCACAGACTTCAACATTATACAGCAATCATAATCATAATAATCTTTTAGAGCCCCTCTCACAACAGGATTTGTATCATAACCTACCTTCACTCAGACAGCATGCATGTGAAATCGGTCTCACAGGTCTAGGCATAATCCCCACCCAGAGCCCTCTGCTCTGGGGGTAACAGCATGTGCTCAGATGCTCTGCTTTGGTTCCCAGTCCCCTCCTTAAATCCCCTTACCCACTCCATCCCCCAGCAGCCAGGAACACCTCAGGTCTGCAGGTAAGTGTGCCACTGAGGCTGGGCACCAGGACTGGGCCAGACAAACCTATCCTGGGAAGGGTCATGGGTATGGAGTCAAAGACAGTCTTGTTGACACTGGTGGTCTTTGAAGGGCTTCAGTCTTCACAGCTAGCACATTGGCTTAGAGTGCAGGCTCCAGAGAAAGGGTGCCTTGTTCTAATCCTAGCTTCACAGTGAACCAGCTATGTAAGCCTGGCCAAGCAAATGGAGCTCTCTGTGCCTCACTTTGTCACCCACTAGCTTGAGGGTGAGATCTACAACCCACCTCCCAGAGGGGCTGTGAAAATTACACAAGATCGCATGAAGCCTAGCACGTAACAAGGGCTCAGAAAATGTGTGCTCAGCTATGATGCTGGTTCCAAATGAGGTCACTCTGAAAGGCTTTGTCTACTACAATGGCTGAACACAAAGCTTCATCCTAAGAATCCCAAACTGTGGTAGCAAAGGCTACCCTCATGGGACAGGTTTTAGGGCACTAGCTTATCCACATTTGGACACAGCCTGCTTTTTATCAGACCACAGGGCCCACTTTGGGAGTGGGATTCCCCTTCAGAGGCCCTGAGATCAGCTAGGACCTGGTTATCAGTTTTTCCGACCCTCCCCCAATTCTAGAATGTGACAGAATTAACCATGGCAGGGAGTGTCCAAAGACAGTTTCAATGAAATGCTTATCTTTTCATTGCCCAGCTCTGTGATGGAAGGACAGCTGCAGAGTAGGGTCACAGAGGGGAGTGTGGAAAGGTCACCATGTCACCCTATTATGGAGGTGGGGGCGAGTACCTCACTTGGAGCAACCTCTGGGTAGAAAGGAAAGGGCTACTTTGGAGCAACCATTTCAAAACAGAAGTCACGTGGTCAAGTGAGCCTCAATGCGGCCACCGCACAGCAGCCCCTGGCCCTTCGTGGGGGGCGCCCAGCGTACTTACCAAACAGCAGCGGCTTGAGGCTGAGGGTTCGGATGAAGTGATCCCTGTCGTCGACCAGCTGGACCTTGCGCTCGTGCCCCACCTAAGGCAAAGCGGCACAGCGGGCAGCTA